TTTTTTTTTTTTTTTTTTTTTTTTTTTTTTTTTTTTTGGTTTTTAAAGACAGGGTTTCTCTGTGTAGCCCTGGCTGTCCTGGAACTCACTCTGTAGACCAGGCTAGCCTCAAACTCTCAAACTCAGAAATCCACCTGCCTCTGCCTCCCAAGTGCTGGGATTAAAGGCGTGCGCCACCACCGCCCGGCTTATTATTGTTTTATTTACATTATTGTTGAGTCCTTGCCACCACTCTATGAGACTGGTACTATTAGCCTCTGTAGGTATATAGACCTTGAGTTTCAGAGAGAAGAAAATGCAAGGCTACAAAGGTAGAAAAGAAAAAGATGAAGCTAAGATTGCTACACAGGTCTGTTATACTCCAAAGCCAGAGTTCTCCACTATTACACTTTACCAGGTTCTTAGGAGGAATGATTTTCTAGAATGTGTCATGGAGCTGTAATCTGACTTGTATGTGGTATGAAGATGACAGTTCCTTAAAGGCAATGGCTGATGACTGCTGCTAGGGAGGGTACATGTAGATGAATGGGAAAGAAAGCTGGTCCTCTCTGCCCCTGTAGAGGATATAACTTACATACTGTCAGCTTCAATTACTGACTGAATGGTCCAGTGGTTTGGGGATCCTGGCAGGAATGTTTTCCTTGTCCTAGAATGCTTGTGTGATAGGAACCTGGGAGAAGAATGGGTGTGTTTGTCTGGCTTTATGGCTTTTGAATGCTGATAATTTGTAGACAGGGAATACAGGGGCATCAGAACTGTGGAGTGGGCAGATGTGGAGGAGGAGCGGCTGGAAGAGAAAGCAGGCCCATGGAACAGAGAGCAACTTTGTTTATCAAAGGGTGGGATGCGGGTGTGGAGGAAAGCTTTGCAGCCAAGCTGTGGAGACTGAGTGGGGACTGCTGGGCTGGCTGCCAACCCCAGCCACTGCCAAGGGACTATGATGGCTGCTTCTTGTAAGATATTTGGAAAAGAGGGATGTACTATTCCCAAGAGAAAGGACAGATCTTGGGCATATATGCAGGTCCAAACACTTGAGAACTCCTTTGTGTCCCTCAGGTCAAGATAGCCAGGAGCAGGTTTGACACTGCCAGCTCAGGGTCTGGATGATAGCCACACACCTGCAGATCTTACCGTGCAATAGTGAGCACTTGGAGCAAGAGCTTGCTGATTAAGGGACAGAGCATTATTTGTGCTTGCTGCATTGCTCGGCTACCAGACAGATGTCCACCGTCTTCTCCTGCCTTCTTTGTTATGCTCCACCTTACTTATCCCCACCCTTCTGCTCCATGCAGACAGGATAGGGAATCTCAGTAAACCCTTTTCTCTCTCAACAATGTAAGTAGCCAGCAAGCACTATTATAAGGAGTGGTCTTCACCCCTAGGCACACTACTTCCTACAAGACTAATCACCAAGCAAGTGGCACAGAAGTACCTGGCACCTAAGGCCAGGCCCCAGGATGAGATGCTATTATGGTTTCTCATGAGATAGCATGTGGCAGACTTTCCAGGTAGCACGTAAGAACTTGACAGGGTTGGGGCAGGTAGTACAGCACTAGGAAAGCCCCTGTGCTTGGGATTCAAAAGTCCTCGCTCTTTCTTACTATGTTACTTTGGGAGAGTCACCCCTTTCTTATCCTAATACAGAGGTATATGGTTTATCTCACAAGTTTTCAGGAAAATAAGAATGCTTGTGAAAGGGCCTTTATGTCAGGAGCAGTCAGTGGCTGCTCTGAGCCTTCATTCCCACACAGGAACAAAGGAGATTTTGATTAATACACTTTTTTTTAATTGGGAGGATTAGGATAGATATATAATGCTAAAAGTACCCAGCATTCAACATGCAGTAGAATGGATGGTAAGGGTTTTAGAGTGGATACTCAATATTAATTTGTCTCTATTATTAGTCTGGGACAGTAGTCATAGAGTCATAAAGGCCATTGGGCTAGAACAGTGAGGAGCTTAAATTAGCATTCACAGCTTACAACAGCTCACATAGGAACTGAGAGGTCTCTTGCTTTGGTGGCATCTCTGGGACCTCTTTGCCTAAACATACTCTATCGCCAGGGTGCTCATTTTCTAGCCCAAAGTAGAAAGTGTAGCCAGATTTAGTCCTGGCTGCTAGAGACCAGCTTCCTAAACTCTGTGTCACAACCCTGCTAAGGCTATGTAACTGAATGTGAAGGCATTACTAAAGATTCCTAAACCTTCAGCAAGTAGACATTAATTCCAAATCAAACTCCCCGTGTATCTTCAGTGTCTTCCTGTGAACACTGGGCCTCTGGCAGCACTTGAACATGTTGATCAGAACTTGCTGCCTCCTTGGATCTGGACACTGATTTGATCATGCCGGCCCTCATACATAAGTATTGCTGCAGATTCCTTCACTTAGATCCTGGGTTATTGTTGGTTTTGTTCTTCTAGAAACACGATGGCTTAATTATGGGAAACAAAGACTTTGAGTATCATCCTATCATCATTCCTCATTTTTTTAAGAATCAAATTAGATGTTTTTAGATTATGTCAAGTTTTATTTTAGCTAGGTGTGATGGTACATGTCATGAAACCTTAGCATTTGGGAGATAGAGTCAGTAGGCTGAGAGTTTGAAGGCCATCTCTACTACACACTGAGATCAAAGCCAGCTTGGGCTATATGAGACCCTATTTCAAAAAAAAAAAAGTTTGCTGTTTTAGTTTCTGACTTGAAATTAGTTTTGAAAAAAATGTTAAATGAATTTGACTTGGGATTAGGGCACAATTTTTAACAATTTCTGAAATAACTCTAAATATACTTCTGCTACTTTATACCTAAACCATTGATAGTTATAAGATCAAAATATCAATTAAGCCAGATGAGGCAAAACATTCATTTAATCCCCAAACTCAGGAGGCAGAGATGAGCAGGTCTCTGAATTTGAGACCATCCTGTTTTATGTAGTGAGTTCTAGGCCAGCCAGGGTCTAGAAACTTGGTCTCAGAAAAAAGATTAACTCTGAAAACTTTGGTATATGTCCTGCAATGTCAAATAGAAGTGTCACACAGAAGCAATTTAATTCTTCATTTAAAAGAGATTTAAAAAAAAAAAAGTAAGCATGTCTATCTCATTTGTATTCAAAATTGATTTTATCTTTATTTTTCTTTTTCCTTGTTTTTGTTTTTCGAAACAGGGTTTCTCTGTATACCCTGGCTGTCCTGGAACTCACTCTGTAGACCAGGCCCGCCTCGAACTCAAGAGGCAGGCCTGTCTCTGCCTCCCAAGTGCTGGGATTAAAGGCGTGCGCCACCACTGCCCAGCTTTTTTGTTTTGTTTTCTGGGTGTTTTGTGTGTGTGTGTGTGTGTGTGTGTGTGTGTGTGTGTGTGTGTGTGTGATTTTATCTTTAATGAATGGTAAAATTACATGCCAAAGAATTGTCTTAAATTTATTGGGACTGGAGAAAAGCACTTAATAAGTACAGTACTTATAGCACGAGGACTCCTAGTTCAGGTACCTGTACTCATGTAAAAGCCTGAGGATGTCTGTAACTGCAGCACTGAATAGGAGCAGAAATAGACAGGTCTCCACAACTCGCTGGCCAAGTCAGTCTAGCCAAATTAGTGAGATTCAGAATTCAATTAGAGACTGGTATCCCTAAAAAATAGGGTGGAAAACAATAGTAAAAGGCACAGTGTCAACCTCTGGCTCTTTATATATCCCTTACACACACACACACACACACACACACACACACACACACACACCAAAACATAAGAAGAGTAAATAAGATGAATTCCACTATGGTTTATTATTAGTGATAGATTTGTATACCTATTTTATTACCTATGTAAGAATTCATCAGGTGAAAAGAAGTCATGTGTAAATAGTTCAAGAGGCCTGTCTGTTCTGCATGAGCCAACTACCCTAGATACTAGAAGAGCCTTGAGAAGCTAGTCCAGGTTCCAGGTTCTCATCCCACCACCAGCTGGCTGTGTTTTGGTGGGCCAGTCCCCTCTCCATATTGAACTTGAGTTTCTCAGCTGTATGTTGGTAGTGATTGTTTCATCCACTGCTAGGGTTGAGAATGCACAGAAAGTGTCCAGCACAAAGCCTCTTGTGGTATAAAGACTCAGCAAGTGTTTTCCTTCTACCTTGGGCTGAAGTCAGGAATGCCAGTGAGATTTTTTTATTGTATATAATCTCAGCCTTGCTAGAAACAGTGAACCTAAACAAACATAATTGGAAGCATTTTCTACATTGTAGCTGAAGCTCTTATAGAGTCACCATGGCAGCTGTCATTGATACTGGAGACTGCATCTCCACAAAAGCTGTATCTTAAATATTGTCACATTCCTCTTCGTTTCTATCCCAGATCTCCTTCAGCTCATGTTAGCATAAGCAGGCAAACATTGTCTTTCAGAGGGAGACCTAAAAGCTTACATAGGTCAAAGACTTTCCCAAAATCTCACAGCTGTCTGTGGTGCAGTTGGATTTGAACCTGGTTTTACTTGACTGTCTGACCTTGGAAACAGCAACTTACATAACCTATACTGGCTGCCATACAAAGCATGGGTTTTCCTGTGGGTTCCCTCTCCCCCATGTAGAGTTTTTTTCCTATCATAGATAACATCTGTGTGCCCTTCCAGACTTTTTCTTGTATCCAAAGTAAGAACCTGTATCTGTTGTCCAGGTTTAGTGATGAAGGGATGGAGGTGATTGAACGGCTCATCTACCTATATCACAAGTTCCATCAGCTAAAGGTCAGCAATGAGGAGTACGCATGTATGAAAGCAATTAACTTCCTGAATCAAGGTGAGGAGGGGGAGGGCAAAAGCAGGGGGTATTTTATGTATCTATTTTTGGCATTGAGCACTTGCCCTCTGTATCACATACACAACTCCTCATGCCCCCACCCCCAGGACTGCTACAGACTCTGTCACACTATGTGACCATCAGTCTTGGAAGGCCTACAGTCCCCCTAGTCATCACCCTGCTACTCTACTGTGCAAGGAATGCTTAGATTTTTTTTCTTGAAATCTAAATGCCACAATCTCTATAACTCACAGAGGAAGGAAGAGGATTCACTTTGTTTAGTCAGTTTTAATGCATTTAAACACAGACGTCAAGGACAGAATGTGCGTCATTTAAAATATGTACAAGTTTACCAGCAACTGAAGAGAGGGTGACTGATGAAACTGTTGGAGGAGATAAGGCTGGTTGACAGGCTGACCATGGCTCTGATGTCCCAGGGAAGAGTGGTGGTATACAAGCCTCCATGTGCACATGAGGCCCACTCTTCCATCAGAGGAGTCCACTTGATTTATAGGCATATTGCCAACAAGTGGCATGTGGTAATTGCTGGCAACTGGCCTGTGAAAGAAAATTGGTGTTCTTTTATAAAAAGTAGCATATGAATGCCCCATTCCCAGAGTGGACCTGAGTGATTTTGTTCCTGTAGCTTTAAAAGTGCTCAGTTTTCCAATCCAGAGACTTTTGATCAGGCCTTTCTTTTTACTACTGTTCCCCACTCATTCAACTTTCCAGTGCTGTATAAACCTACTACTCCTGTCTGTATGCCATCATGCATTTATCAGGTGACCTACACGCCTTCTCTAGCCAAACCCTAGACTGTGTATTAAGGATATTGGAAGGAGAAAAATAAAAGCCAGGCCAGTCCCCAGGTCCCTAAAGAATTTACATGCCAGTAACACTCAACACATTAATTGTACTGTATATGGAAGAAGATTGGTAGCAACTTCTTAGAGGAAGAAAAATGTGTGCTGGACCTCAAAGGCTTGGTATACTTTACATGCAGAATGCTTTATTCATCCCCTATACATTAGATGGGTAGATATGCATACATACGTATGTGTGTACATCAGGATAGAATAGGAAGAACACAGGAGCAGTGGAGATGATATATGTCAGGCTTCTGACACCCTCTGCCTCAAAGATGCTCTGAAGGGTTATTGGAACCCTTAGTTAGCCACTTGTTCCACACTCACTGGTGCCTGTTCTGTGCCACTATACCCTTTATTAAGAGCTTAGCACTCTAAGGTGTAGGCAAAGGGCTGTCCTTTGCATATTTCATTTTCTATCTTATTTTTTCTTATCCAGATCTTGGTTTCTCCACATTAGAAAAAGAAAAGTCATTGTTATGGCCACATTAAACTGTGAGTTTTTACAAATCTGATGCCTAACCCCCCTTCCCTAAGTGATACTTGTTTTTGTTTTCAGATATCAGGGGTCTGACCAGTGCCTCACAGCTGGAACAACTGAACAAGCGGTATTGGTACATCTGTCAGGATTTTACTGAATATAAATATACACATCAGCCAAACCGCTTTCCTGATTTGATGATGTGCTTGCCAGAGATCCGATACATTGCAGGTAATATTCTGGGTCCAGGTGTCCACCCTTCCTTGTTTCTCCAAGCTTGTGAAGGAATTGAGATGAGCAGTGTTCATGGGATGGATGCTCACTCTATGCTGTCACCAACTGCAGACAGTTACTACCCTTCCCCTCAGATAAGTTCTGTTGTAGTAGGAAGTCAGTGTCTCCTTTTAGAAAAGAGAAACTGGCATTTCCCAGGCTCCTGTGGTGTTCAGGTAGTGTGGATGAGGAAAGCAGGCTGTGTCTCCACTTCACATCCTGAACTATATATATATTTTTTTTTCAGAAGTAATATTATTGGAACAATGTTTTTTAAGATTTATTTATTTATTTATTCATTTATTTTACGCATGTGAATTCACTGTCTTCAGACACACTGGAACCATCTGGCATTACAGATGGTTGTGAGCCACCATGTGGTTGCTGGGAATTGAACTCAGGACCTCTGGAAGAGCAGTCAGTGCTCTTAACCACTGAGCCATCTCCCCAACCCTGAACTTGTACACTTTAGATAATGAGTTTTATTTGTGAATTATATGCCAATTTTCAAAGACTTTATTTTATAGGATTGCACAAACTCTTTCCAGGGCCCTAAAGTGGCACCTTTAAGCTTATATGATGTTTACAAAGGAGTTTTGTGTGTTGCAGTGTGTTGTGTTTGTGGTCTTAGCACAGGAACCCTCTGCTAAGTTCCTGACAATTAATAGGTCTGTTCCAGTGCATAACCTTGGCTCTTTGTTGTTGTTTATGACATTTAATGAGGATTCGTGGTTTTGTTGTCCAACACTCACTGGGATGATGTTTGGACCAGGTTTGGTTTTGTTTTGTTTTGTTTTGCTTTGTTTCTGTAAAATTTAGCCGTACAACTTTTAAAGGAAAGCATGTCAGTCTGACAGAATTTTTTTTCTCTATTTCTTGAGTCACAGAGCAGTCTAGCAGATGTAGGTTGGACCTGGCAGTATTTTCAATTACCTGGAAAGGTTTTGAAAACCAACAGTGTTTAGTAGATTGCATCTCCAGACATTCTGACTTAACTGGTATGGGGTGAAGACCAGGCATCAGTATTTTTTAATGCCTTCAAGGTGATTAAGGTACTGTCAGGGAGAACTACAGCCTTGGGTATTTTGCTTGTAGTATTATGTACTTAAAGCTCTGAGAAGTTTGTCAGTGGGAAAAAAAAACTGTCATTCTTTTTATTCCCAGACATTTCAAATTTATTTGCCCCTTCTCCTTACTTCCCTAGTACTTTTATTAGTCACTTACTCTGTTTTGAAGAGTAGTGTTTTATAGAATGCTAGAGCATTGGTGGGAAGCAAGTTCCCTGCAGTGTTTCAGCTGTGAAAGCTCAGTAGGGCTTTTTCTCCATTTCAGCTGTAAAATGGAGTAAGAGGCAATCACAGACAGAAGCAGTGAGTCTGAATGAGACAATGCATGAAACTGGCTGGCACAGAACAAGTGTAGCAGACGAGAGAGTGAGTGTAGACAACCTGACATTATCAAACCCTTGTGGCCTTCTCAGTACTTTTGGTACTCTTGCCCTCATCCTGTACCAAGGCAATCCAGCAGCCTGAGTGGAGACAAGATAGGCTTTCCTGCCCTACTAACTCCTGTCTCTTCTCTTTACCTAGGCAAGATGGTGAATGTGCCCCTGGAGCAGCTGCCCCTCCTCTTTAAGGTTGTCCTGCACTCCTGCAAGACAAGTACAGTGAAGGAGTGACCTGTGCCCTGCACCTCCTCCGGCCACCCACAGTGCCTTGGGTAGGCAGCACAGGTTCCAGAGAAAAGAGCCAGAGACCAAGATGGAGACTGTGGAGCAGCTACCTCCATCACAAGAAGAATTTGTTTGTTTGTCTGTTTTTAACCTCATTTTTCTATATATTTATTTCACGACAGAGTTGAATGTATGGCCTTCAACATGATGCACATGCTTTTGTGTGAATGCAGCAGATGCATTTCCTTGCAGTTTACAGAATGTGAAGATGTTTAATGTGACCGTGTTGTCATTGTTTAGAGATAGGGTTTTGTATTTTGAGGGAGAGGGTGGGATGGACTAGACGAGTACTTCCATAATGTTGACAAAGACAACTACCTCAATGGAGACAGGTGTATGACCGTCCCTGCCTTTTCCACATTTTCTCAGCAGATACACATTTGTCTGTTAGAGAGCAAACTGCCTTTTTTTTTTCTTTTTTAATAGCCACAGACTTCTTAGTAAAAGAGTACACCAAAGGAGTGACGTGGTATAGGGAGATTTACTAATGGCCAGTGGGACGACTGAAGGGGATTTTGATTTTGATCATCTTGTCCCACAAGTCTGAACGGCAGAAACTCTGCCTTGCTTTCTGCGGCACCCTTCCCCAAACACTGTTGTTTGTTGATGCTGCTGTCAAGTTTGCATCCAGCAGAATCCTGACAGTAAGTCAGTCTGTAGGACTCGCCTCCCAGCGCCCTTGGGGCTCATAGCTGCCTAGTTTCAAGGCTTACTTTCTTCAGACTGCATCCCTCCCTCTTATGAACTCGACTTCCTGTCAATCCTTTAGAAAGGTGGCAGGAAAACGCCATGTTCTGAATTCTGATGCCATTTCTGATTTGTTCTTTACATTGTTTCCCTCAAAAGGTAGAGGGGCAAAAGCCAGGCTTCTGAAAGAATAAAGACTCCTTTGGAAGTTCCTGTTCTCACCCTACCTTATCCCCTGAACCACATCCAAAACTGCCATTTTTAAACAGTAGAAAGGACTAGAAACTTTGCTCCTAAATTTTGTTGTAAGTTCTCTCATTATTTCCAAAATGATATTTGTTTGCCAGGGCTCTAGAACAGAAAGCCAAGACCCAGAGAAGCCCAGCTCTTCCTTCAAGTATTATCAGGGGTCTGGCCTATCAAGATTTGGAGGGATGGAGCCAGAAGTATCTAGAAGGGAAAGGGGCTTTAAACTACCTCATGTTTCTAAGGGCTTGCCTGCTGCTTCTGCAGATGCAGCCTGGACCCCCCTGTGCTTTACTGCCTACCCTATCTAGTTCTAGGAAGAGTTCTTGCCCTCCAGACTTTGGCCAGGACAAGCTAGGTTTGTCTTAGAGTTGTTTCAGCTGCTTTTCCCTTTATTTGTATCAGGCTCTCCTACTACCAGTACCCCAGACACATGCTCCACTGGCTTGTATCCCTTTATGGTGCCTGCCTCACCCACAGTACCACTTTTAGCCTGTTTTGTCAGGAACTGTTTACACTTCCCCAGTGAAGCCTATTATCTTACCCTGGAGGCCACCACATCCTGTGACTTTTAGGTAGTCTCCACTTGTCAGGTTTTTCTCTCTAGTGAAATGTTACGGGTACCAGCAAAGTGACAAATATGTCCTTTGGTGTCCAAAGTTCAGAGCATTATTTCTTCTCATTCTTATTCCCCAGCCGAGAGAGAGAGAGAGAGAGAGAGAGAGAGAGAGAGAGAGAGAGAGAGAGAGAGAGAGAGAGAGAGAGAGAGAGA